AGGAGGAGCAGGAGAAGGAGCTGAAAGACAGATGACTAAATTTGTTCACCTGTGGGGCCTTGTCATCCAGTGGGCGGAGCTTGCTCTGAACTTTAAAGCGAGGCTGCTTTTGGGAGGCGGGATCTACTGCACCCATAAAGATGGATGAATAATCCTGCAGTTTTTCTGGAGCGGGGTATTTGGCACTGGAGAACACCTACACAAACACATCAGACATATAACCACTCGGTACTGTGCAATAATTATGAATTAGTCATTTAGTTGGTGCTTTAATCCAAAGTGACTTACAGTACAATTATTATAGGAACAAAATTCCTGCAGTTCAGTAGACAGTAGAGCAGCAAAAATCTTAATGATACTGAAAATTGTCTTAATTTTATTAATGGGGACATTTTTTTTTTTTGTTATTTAGTCAACATATGACCCAGACATTTCTTGATGTGATTTAACCATTAGCTTATGCCCACCCTACAACTCATATCCACTTTCTGCTCCAAATATTTGTTGCAGAAATCTGAATCATCTGCATCACCTTTGTGGCTTTCTTGCTTCCTTTGATCTTCTGGACTCTGGCCTGAGCCAGTTTGATCCGGTCTGTGACGGTCTGAAGGTGTACACGGTTCTTCTCCACGCTCTGAGACACCCTGTCAAAACCAAACCAAGTCATTGGTTCTGCTATAGCTGCAGAATACAGGTGAACACATTTAGATCAGAACTCTAAGTTCAGGCCTTTGTCAACTAATTTGTTGGTGATTAAAACGGTTTCATAATTAATCCTGTTTAAACCAGTATGTTTGACTAATTTTTACATCATCAACATTTACAATTTCATCTTCAAAAAAATACAATTTTTAATCTTCCTATGATATTAAGAATTAATTAAACACATTCTATTTCAGGCATTTCTAAATTAATTCTATGTAAATACTGCATTAAGTATAAATTTAATTTAGCAATTTTGTGTGTTTAATTTGCTATAAGCAATAAGGAATAAGTGGATCATTGTTTAAAAAAAAAAACAGTATATATACCTTGCCATTTAAAATGTTTGTCTTTAAGATTAAAAAAAAAAAAAGAAACACTTTTTTATTTTATTATTACTTTTATTCAACAAGAATGCATTAAATTACATCTATAAATAAGATTTTATTTCAAATCAATGCTGTTCTTTTTATTTTTCTATTCAAAGAATCCTGAAAAACGCATCATGGTTTCCACAAAAACATGAAGCATCACAACTGTTTTCAACATTGATAATAATAAGAAATGAGAAATAATAAGAATATTTTCTTGAGCAGCAAATCAGCATATTAGAATGATTTCTGAAGGATCATGTGACACAGAAGACTGGAGTAATGATGCTGAAAATTCAGCTTTGCCTCACAGGAATACATAAATTGCATTTAAAAATATATTCAAATAGAAAATAGTTATTTTAAATTTAATAATATTTCACAATTTTACTGTTTTTACCATATTTTTTTAAATCAAGTAAATGCAGCCTTTGTGAGCATAAGAGACTTCTTACAAAAACATTTTCCAAACAACATGCTGAATAATGGTGTACTGCAGCACATTAGCAGATGAAACAGCACGTATACTGTGACCTTGGTGGCTCTATGCCAATGCCATTTGTCTTGGCTGGATATTATAATGTCTTTTTATTACACCTATTGTAAGCCGTCAGTGTTTACCAGCCACATATCTCTTTTGTTTGTCCATTCTACACTGTTTCTGTGGACAAACATTACAAACAGGAAAAAAGATCCCTTGATTGCAGGAGGCAGCTACAGTACGCCAGCCTGAAACATCAACAACATGCAGCGGCAATGAGAGCGTAATCGTGCATTTGTACAGTCCTATCATCACTACTGAGTCAGTGTGCTCCTCTGTAGCCTATGGCACTACACACTGTCTTAAAAGACCCTCCATTCCTCTCCATTGACAGAAGAATGACTAAAAGAGAAGGGGGAAGGAGAGGCTTAATGGAGCTGACCTAGAAACGCACTGCTTCACCACACACACACATGTTCCCTGGACCCCTACGTGCCATGTTGTCATGGTAACGCTGTGGATGGTTTTCCAGCCTGTTCAGCTGGAATTAGCATATTTGAGCACTCACTCCCTCACAACTGCATCTCATGCAAAACACACACCTTTCATTGTGTTTCTCTCCTTTGTTATTTTGACACGGTCTAATCATGCTCTCTCCTTCAGTAGACAGGCGCAACAATAGAGATGACCCGGGGCCGGTGTGAGGGGGTTTCGGGCCAGTGGACGGAGCTGTCACTTACCTTAAAGGATAAGTGCTGTGTCGTCATTGCATCTTATGGTTGTTGATCATGTACATGTGTTTTTATGCATTGCACTCAAAAATATTTGCTATGTGTTTTGTTAATTCTAATGATTTAAATATTGTTTGGGACTGATACAATTTTAATTATGCTCAACAAGGCTGCATCTATTTGATCAAAAATACAGTAATATTATTACAATTTAAAATACCTGTTTTCTATTTTAATGTATTTAAATATGTAATCTATTTCTCTGATGCAAATCCAGTCTTCAGTGTCATTCTAATATGCTGATTTGCTTAAGAACCATTTATTGGAATAGAAAGTTTTAAAGCTTTTATTTGAAATAGAAATCTTTTGTAACATTCTAAATATTTTACTGTTGGTTTTGATCAATCTAATGCATCTTTGCTGAATAAAATTATTAATTTCTTCAACTGAATGTATTTAAAGAAAGAGCAACTTGTTCAGTAAACAATTAAAAAAAAAAAAAAGTTTTTCCCCCTGTTGTACCGAAATCATACCGAACCGTGACGTTAAAACCGAGGTACGTACCGAACCATCATATTTGTGTACCATTACACCCCTAATATATATATATATATATATATATAGGCCAACAATTATTAAATATTAAATAATTTATTTATAGTGAATAATTGTTTGGTAAAGAACTTTAAACAAAAAAATAAAAATAAAAATATTTTTGTCACATTTAAAATATGTTGCTAAACATATTTTCATCAACATATATGACCACATAATTTTTTTTTTTTAATATATAAATCTATTATAAAAAAATCTTTATTTTTGAGACCTGAATGGGCAACTCAAAATGTAGCATTCACGTATAACGTTTGTGTGAACTGCTACTGTATAATATTATTGATTCTAGCCTCTTGATCTTATTTCTCTTGATCTCTGATCTACTCAAAAGCACTCTAGCCTGTACTATGAATAAGTGTGTATAAATAAATGTGTGTTTACCTAGAAAAGATGTCTGTTGATATCATTTCCAGGTACTGTAACGCACCAGTGATCTGATGCACAGCCTCTTCTCTCCTCAGATCCGGCTGGATGAGCGGTGCAGAGTACACCTGTCCCTCCAGGTAGCGTTTCTGAGTCATCCTACACACATACACAGACACAAACCCAAACCAAAGAATCATTCAATCGGTATAAGCAAACTGTGAAATATAAAGTCTTAAGTCATTTTCAATTATCTAGTGTTAGAATTTGCCATGGTAGTAGCTAAACTGATAATATAACATTCAAATACTCTGCATACTGAAGTTGGCAACACACATACTATTTATAATGCATGGGACACTGTATGAAAATGTAAATTTCATATCCTTTGGAATTGATACTTTTTGCCCCGTCATCACACGATCTAGAGACTCTGATCTAACACAGCAACATGAAACACTGATCCAGCCTAAACGAATGACAGTCACATGATGACTCGCACACATAAAGCTGAATTAACACTGTTATGTTGTGTGTCGCAATGCAAGCCCTTTAATAAGAGAGTATAATAACCATATGACAGTTATCTGAAACAAACCAGCTGATTAAGACACTGATTTTCATTTTAAAATGATTTTCTCCGATGGAGAAAACACAGCGGCCAGAAACTCAAATGGATGCCTATGAAATATCGCTATTAAAACAGAAAGGAAACACTTTACCTGACCATTTATATGTCAAAAGCACAAACGTCCAGCTGCTCGAAGGCGCTCAGTCCTTCAGGATCAAAACTTCCGCACTCTCAGATCACGTGACGCCTGACGTCGGCGCGTAACAACTGTAGAGAGAAAAAACGGGTAATAAAATAATAAAACATAAATGTTTATTAATAATAATAATAATACATTATTAAAATATACATTAATATTAATAATAAATTATTAATATGAATAAAATGTTTATTTAATGTCTATTAAAATGCTAAAAATAACCCGTAGACATTGACACTTTTGAGCATCTGTTTAATAATTTTATTATTATTATTTCATTTGTATTATTATAATTGTTGTTGCTGTTGTTGTTGTTCTAATATCACTTATCATGATGTACATTTGTGTAGGCCGCAAGACCATTAAAATAATTATGAATGAATTTAGCCAGCTTTCAAAAATCATTTGTCTTTGTATATTCCATGTAGGCTATATACGAAAGCGTTTTGATCAGGCGTTTTGATCAGATTTGTTAGCAGTGAACCATTCCCATCATTAACTTTAAGATTTTTGCCTTGTTTTCTCTATAATAATAATAATTATTATTATTATTATTATTGACGCTTTGGCATTACTTAGTGAGAAACAGTCGTGCTAATAATGCACTCTGAAAATAAGGTGGAAAAGAACATTCATTTGGTAACTAAGCAACAGAATTCTAAATTTGTAGCAATAAAATAAGACACTAAGCATGATTCATGTTTTTATTGATTCATTTTTTTATTGAACATTGAAAGGTATACAAACGGATCCACGTCGAGGTACATACAAGATACAATTTATAAATAATGATTAATTATTAACAACAAATTTAAAGGAGATAAATAATCTAAGCAAACTCTGTTGCTTGCCCCCCCGGCGTCACTCGCGATCGCGGCCCCGCCCCCTTCAAGCCGTGTTTGACATCCTCGCATCAGCACCACTCCGCGCATCCCTTCTTGCGCGCTCTGGGCACGGAGGTGGAGGTGGAGGTGGAGGCGGAGGCGGGGGTCTCTCTCTCTCTCTCTCTCGGTTCAGCCATTTAAATATCAACCCGTGAAACTGGTCAGGGGTTCTGACTCCAAGACGCCCGCTTGGATCGGATAATTTCTCTGCTTTTTCAAGAGGAGCGTCGCACCGGGATGTCGAGCCTGCTGGAGAACCCTCTCCAGGCGGTGCTCTATCTGAAGGAGCTCACCGCCATCGTGCAGAACCAGCAGAGTCTGATTCAAACCCAACGATACCGGATAGACATACTCGAGCGCCGGCTGGAGGATCTAGCGGTTGCCAATGGGCAGCTCCGGGACTCCAGCAGCCATCACCGGCACCCTCCCCGCTATCATCCGCCTCTGCCCCCCCGGACCTCCAGCCTGCCCCGAACCAACAGATCCGGGACGCCTCCGGTTCAAACCCAGCAGCAACAGCATTCCTCCCTGGACATGCAGCTAGTGCCTGTGGGACCCAGCAATGCCAGTCCAGACTCTGCTGATGAAGATGATCATGACGCTCAGGACCCCTGCTGTCGGTCCCTGGTCCCACAGACACCTGCCACCTTGTGCCGAGCTGCGAGACTCCCACGGGCATCTGAGTAAGCTCTCATCACACATGTTCAACAAATCAGTCTTTTTTCTCTAGGAAAACATGAGATCGATGAGATGTTGAGGCAGATTACGTGCCATCAGGATTACATAACAGAGGAATTTCACTATGTAGGCCACAGTGAATATACAATTGCACATCAATAATTCCAGGATCACAAAAAGCATGATGATTTGTATTTATAAAATCATTCAGCATACTTTGTCTATCAGTGCATAAATGCATGAGTGTGTATTGCAGTCTTAAATTAACTGTACTTTCTAAAATGGAAGAAAAATGACTGTAGGTCATCAATTCAGCACATTCACTCTTTCCAGGGCAAAAGGTCTTAAGAAAGAGGTTTTTAATGCACCTGATTATTTTGCAGCAAGAATGCATTTTTAAAAGCACTTAAAAACACTTTATTGGCATGCAAACTCACACGCACACACAGATTTATGCGTAAAGTGAGGCTTTAAGTGACATTCCCATAGTGCATGTGAAGTTGATCCGCCAGCTGGAATCTAATCCACAGTAAGAGAGAGAAAGAACGAGAGATTGAGTGAGTGAGTGAGTGTGTGTGTGAGTGTACGTGTGTGTCGCCTATTACGACTGCTCATCTGCTTCAGTGCACATCTCATGCTGCATTTGTAGAGTACTTTCTCTCTCTCTCTCTCTCTGTGTGTGTGTGTGTGTGAACCCCACAAGCAAAACTGGAATGATACATTCTGCTCTGATTTGTTTAATGGTAGCATTATCTTGTCCTTTAGGGTACAAAACACTTAGTCCTGAGTCTGAGATTGTGTTACCTTGTTGTGTGTTTGCTTTTTTATGGCAGAATACGCTTAGTTCTACTGGAAGTATGAGACGCTCATTGCCAATGAGTTTTAGGGCTCAATTATGCTCATGCACGCAGCTCATTAAAGCTAATCTCACATCACTATCACCAACATGTCTGGTTATGACAGGTATATTTTGAGACTGTTGCATCTTTATTAGCGAGTGAGAGTTCATTTTTTAGTTCAGTAAAAAATGAACGTATACTGAAATATTACTCACTTTCAGGCCATTCAAGATGTAGATGAGTTTGTTTCTAAATAGATTTGGAGAAATGTAGTATTCTATCACTTGCTCACCAATGGATCCTCTGCAGTGAATGGGTGCCGTCAGAATGAGAGTCCAAACAGCTGATAAAAACATCACAATAATCCACAAGTAATCCACACCACTCCAGTCCATCAATTAACATCTCGTGAAGTGAAAAACTTCATGTTTGTAATAAACAAATCCATCATTATGATGTTTTCAACTTCAAACCTTTGCTAATATTGCTTTTGCCAGTGATAAGTTCATCTAATTTGAATCAGGAGAGAAATATGCACAGATCAAACACCATTTACAAGCAAAAACAGTTCTAACAAATATGTGCATTTTGATGTGAGAGGACAACAGTGGATGGACCTTTTCACTGGAGGAAGCGTTATTATGGAATATGGACTTTTATATATATTTTATGTATATTGGCCAGAAGTGACTGTTTAAAGTTAAAAATGTCTTATGTCGACACCCTCCTGTCGTTCCAAACTGGCATGACTTTCTTCTGTTGAACATAAAAGAAGATCACAAAAATGTAGTGACGCACTTTTTTAACCAAGAAAGCAGCTGGGAATTTTACACACAACAGAATATTACATTAATAATTAATATGACATAATAATAACAATAGCAGGACTGTAAGGAAGTGATATGCAAATATGATTATATTAATAGCACTTCACATTCTCATGTTAGCGCTTGAGTGTGAAGCAAACGTATCTGATGTGCTGTCAACAAGGGAGGGCTCAAAGAAAACTCATCTTGAACGTTCAATTTCCCTGAATTAGAGACTGAATTATTAAAAATGTTAGAGAATTAAAATAAATCAGGAAGGAGTTGAGGATTTCTGAAAGAACTGAAAGCAGCATTGCTTTGTGATTGTCAGGATGAACTGTTCCTCTAAGACTTCGTTTAGAACTTCATTTAAGTGTGTTATTTAGAGATCTTCTTACCTGTTGGGTTAAAACCCACAACATTGAATATTTAGGGCTACATTTAAGATTTATGTACTGCATTTGATTTGCATATACAATTTCCATCCATTTGGACTGCACAGTTTTAACATAAACCAATAAATCTACATAAATGAAACAAGTTACAAACTGATTTCTAAAGTAGTACTAATAAACTGAAATGTGTTTTAAATACACAGTAACCAGGTTTATATATTTATCATCAATAAATACAATTTGTTTCAATCTCATACATTTTGACTAACTGAATATTGCTTGTTCCATAGCTAGCCATATTTCAACTGTTCATAATTTTTAAAATAATAAACTGAATTGATTTTACATTGAACAGATTTTTCTGATTATAAGAAATTTGAATAAATGCATTTTGATATATATTTATTTAAAATAAAATCAAATAGATGCAAACAATCTCATACATTTTGACTAACTGAATATTGCTTGTTCCACAGCTAGCCATATTTCAACTGTTCATAATTTTTAAAATAATAAACTGAATTGATTTCACATTGAACAGATTTTTCTGATTATAAGAAATTTGAATAAATGCATTTTGATATATATTTATTTAAAATAAAATCAAATAGATGCAAACAGTTAATAATAAACTACGCCATGATTTTTGAGTGAAGAAATCTCACCCATTTCATTTATGTATGACTGACAAATATGCATCAACACATAAAGTTTACTAGTTTATATTGAAACTGTGTTTTCCAAATGGATGGAAATTCTATATGCATTTCAAATACATAAATATTTAATTTATGCCTAAATACTTTTTGAGGGTACTTTTGAGTGGCCAATAATCTGGATTCTGAAGCTAAACCAGTTGAGAACCACCACACTAAGCTACAGCAATCTCTATAAGTGCTCAAGGAACACAAATGAAGTAACGTAAATAGTATTGCATTGCATTGCATTTAATTGCAGTAATGTGGATTTGAACCTTTACAGGAGCCAGACCATCCTGCACCAGTTCTGCTGTCCCGCACCAGAGGCCCCAGAGGGAGACTCCCTAACCTGCTCCAGGTGAGGATGTCATCTTCTGTAACGAGCCAATCAGAGGAGAGTTAGTCTTTCTACATGCCAAACAAATAAAATGTACAATATGAGCAAGCGATGCAGTAAGGAGAGTGTGAATCTACTTGTTTACCGCAGCTGTCTGCATTAGTTAAGTATTCCATCCATGAATGGTAGTGGTTTTCTGATGGCAGCCCCTGTTCTCTTGGCCTGAGGCATTCTGGGTGATGGGATTCAAGCTAGCAGAGTGTAAGTGTGTGTGTGTTTGTGAGAAAGAGAGTTAGTGCATGCTGCAGGTGTAGTTTAACCCTGGTCCGTCCTCTGTCTGATAGACTGGAAAACTCTCGGCATGGATAAGCATCGTCACTCAGGTGGGGAGAGAGTCTGTGTGTGTGTGTGTGTGTGTGAATGCATGTGTGAATGTAGCAGTTCTGCACTATTTTGGGAACTTCAAACCATCTGAGCTTTGTTGACTGCATATTTTATGTTGCCAACAAAACCAAGTCTTAAAAGCTATTCTTAATGAAACAGCACATGATAACCGTGAAAAAAATCAGTTCTAAACAACAGAAAATCTATACTTTTGTGTCCAAATGTTTAGAAATCATGACCTCGTCTTTGCAGAAAACTGATAATGGGGAAAGTGCTCGTTATTTTTTGACCCTAACAGAAAACTCAGAATCATATTTTCCAATTTTTGTGGTAAACATTAAAGAGGAGCTTTATTTCTGCAGAAAATCTATTCTAATTTTGTGCCAATTATGTCCTGAGTGGTTGAAAGTGGAAAAAAAAGGAAAGAAAGAACCAAGATAAGCATGCAGTCAGAGTGCATTTTGTTTCTCACCTGCAATACAGTGTAAAAAATATTGTTAAATTGACAGTAAAAAAAAAAACTGGCTGCGGTGGTTGCCAGAAATTCACTGTAAAAATAATGTCACTGTGAACCTATATTTCATTAAGTAATGTAATGTTAAATACCAAGCTACTTAAACTATCTACCTTTTATCTAAAAATAATACAGGTGGTTTGATTGAAAGCCACTTGACAAAAACACGAAACAAAAAAAAAGCAATAAATTGAAGAAAAAAAAAAAGAAATAAAAATAAGAAACAAAATTATTTCTACAAAATATAGTCATATGTGATGTCATGTAGGGTCTATCCTACTAATTTTCCATCGTAAAGTATATATAGTGCCATGTTAAACTTTTTACAATTTTTCACAGTATATGGTTACTTACAGTTAACATTTTTTTACTATAGCATTTTATAGTATTTTTTCTGTAGAAATTACATTACTTGCAAAACAACAACAAAACATAACACCATGTTAAACTTTACCATTTTTCATGGTACATTGTTACAGTTAACTAAATATTTACACTGTAGCATTTTTACAGTATTTTTCTGTAGAAAGTTTGTTTAAATCACTAACCCTAAGTATGAGTAAGTAACCATAAGCCTGAGTAAGCACCACTAATAAAGTTTTATTGATGCCAATTTAACTGATGAACAGGAGAGAGCAGCTTTCATTTTTGCAGAAAGCCTGTAGTGATTGTGTGCCAGTTATTTCCCAAATGATTAGGAAGGGGGGTTGGTGAGAGAGAAGATGGACTAATGGGGAAAATATAAGCATGCGGTAGTTTCTCACCTTTTATTTGCAGAAATCGACTGCCTGGGTTTCTGCTTGATGTTGAAACCTGTTTTTAAACAGCTTGAGAGAGACAGAGAGCATATTTGAGTCATAACATAGGAAATGACATCAAACTCTTTGCTGCCTGCATCACTTCACACACACTCTCTCAAACAAGGAGTGATATCACATTTCACCATGTTAAACTTTACCATTTTTCATGGTACATTGTTACAGTTAACTAAATATTTACACTGTAGCATTTTTACAGTATTTTTCTGTAGAAAGTTTGTTTAAATCACTAACCCTAAGTATGAGTAAGTAACCATAAGCCTGAGTAAGCACCACTAATAAAGTTTTATTGATGCCAATTTAACTGATGAACAGGAGAGAGCAGCTTTCATTTTTGCAGAAAGCCTGTAGTGATTGTGTGCCAGTTATTTCCCAAATGATTAGGAAGGGGGGTTGGTGAGAGAGAAGATGGACTAATGGGGAAAATATAAGCATGCGGTAGTTTCTCACCTTTTATTTGCAGAAATCGACTGCCTGGGTTTCTGCTTGATGTTGAAACCTGTTTTTAAACAGCTTGAGAGAGACAGAGAGCATATTTGAGTCATAACATAGGAAATGACATCAAACTCTTTGCTGCCTGCATCACTTCACACACACTCTCTCAAACAAGGAGTGATATCACATTTCAGTTTGGGTTCTCAGATCAGTTGCGTAGCGGCCTAATGATCTGTATCGACCGTGTGCACTGGCGTCTGTTTTTGCTCTCTTTTAAGGTTCTGCTGCATTTGCTGTCGTTCCTCAGAGGCGAGCAGTACTAGG